TTGTAATTTTAGGTAAGCTAGGGCTTAATTGTAATGAATAGGTAAGTTGAGGGTACGATAGCCGATTGACTCTGGATTTCAAAGTCTCTTGTCAGAGGTAAGCCTTGGTGGCCCAGTGGTGAACCGGCAATGGTTTACTATCCGGACGGCAATGGTTTACTATCTGCACGGTAATGATTTACCATGCGGCATGGCCATAGTCTACTACCCGCACGGCTTCCGGACGGCAAATGGTTTACTATCCGCACGTCAATAGTCTACTATCCGCACGGCAATGGTTTACTATCCGGTGCCCTGGCTGTCGGTGAGCCTCTGTGCAAGGAGGGAGAATGAAGGGGGACTTTCGACTATCGTACCATTAATAATTTAATATATATTAGTTAAGGTAATTGAATAGGTAGATAGGATTATTTTTATTAAGCAATTTGAGATGCAGGCACTGCTAAGCTTTCTGATGAGAATCTTCTTTATCTTTCTTCTTCAATACGGGCTGTGATTCAACAACAATCTCGAGGAGGACTGGCATCAGCTTTGGAGGACAACGTAGGAACCGGAAAGCATTTAACATTCTGTCTTTTTCAAATGGACGACGGTGAATTTTTTTACATTTCACTCTATTATCTATTTGCCATTATTTTCATTTTATAATTTTTTGCTTCTAAGATTTTAACATTCATTTACTACTACGCTAATAAAAAATTTTGTCTACAGAATGATGAGAGGTGGGCAGTGGTGGGTGTCAGCACGTTTCAGACGGTGGTCTCTCTTGATGACTTACATATGATGATGGTGGTGTAGGAAGAATCAGCTCGTTGGCTGTTCGACTGACACTCTGCAGTTCGGATGACATCTTGTGTGCCGACCAGATGGTGATGGTCGGTGCAATGGAGTACAGTAACGAAAATTTTTGAAGTAAGGTTTAGTTTCGTTTTTTTATTTTTCCCCATTCATTCATTTTCTCACTCAATATTTCAAATTATTTAATTGACTAATTGATTCATTCTATTCATTCGTTGATACATTGATTGATTGATTAATTAATTAATTCATTTCATCTATCAACCAATCATTTATTGGTTTGTTCCTTCGTTCGAACATTCATTTACTACTATGTTAATAAAAAAATTTGTCTACAGAATGATGAGAGGTGGGCAGTGGTGGGTGTCAGCACGTTTCAGATGGTTGTCTCATAATAATTTACGTATGATGATGGTGGTGTAAGAAGAATCAGCTCGTTGTCTGTCCGACTGACACTGTGCTATTTGGATAACATCTTGTGTGCCGACCAGATGATTGTGGTTGGTGCAATGGAGTACAGTAACGACGATTTTTGAAGTAAGGTTTAGTTTCGTTTTTTATTTTTCTCATTCATTCATTTGTTCATTTTATCAATCATTCTTTCAAATTATTCTTACATTAATTGATTGATTAATTCATTCTATTCATTCATTGTATCATTGATTGATTAATTCATCCATTCATTTACTCATTCATTCAACCATTCAACCAATCATTCAATCATTCAGTTAATCATTTATTTGTTCGTTACTTTGTTCCTTGATTTACCAACACGCTAATATAAAAAAACTTGTCTACAGAATGAGAGGTGGGCTGTGGTGGGCGTCAGCACGTTTCAGATGGTGGTCTCTGATGATCGTTCCGATGACAATTCGAAGGTAACAACAACAACAGTAATAATAATAAATATTACCGAGAAATATTTTGCCGTCGTACCATAGAAAGTACTCGAATTTGAACAAACGATTGGAATGTTTTGGAGTGATTGGAGTGGATTGTTATCTCAATAACATAAGTTGCCTATTGCTTTTTTTCCAATGGCTTGGTTTTATTTTAAAATATTATTTTTTTTCAGATTTAGTATTTTTCAGTATCCGGTCAAACTCACGATGCGTGCCAGATGATGGTCGGTGCAATGGAGGTTCATCCGTAGTGAAGAAGTTTCTGGAGGGCGCACACGCGCACATGTATACAACACACACACACATCGATACAACACACACATACACAACATCCATTTTTTGGTGTTGTCGTTGTTATGTTTCTCTTCAACTCTCTATTTTCTTTACCAGACTTTAATTTATTTCTTAAGTAAGTTAGGGATTGAGATGAGCTGTACAATTGCAAGTAGGCTAGAGCTTAACATTTGTTAAAAAGCTTCTAGCAAAAAAAAATAAAAAAATAAAATTATACAAAAAAGGCAAATTAAAAAAAACGATAAAATATGTAAAATACAATACCTGAAACATGTAAAATTCCTAAATCTTTGAAATACAAATCTGTAGGTAGGTGAGATGAGCTAATCATTATAGGTAAGCTAGGGCCCTGAGAGTAATTTAATTGTAGGTAGGTGACTGACTACTATTCTTACGACCTTTTACTATTTTTTTGTTGTTTGAATTTGCTTCACACTACCACACCAACAAAACATAATAAATTGTTTTTCGTCGTCGCCTTAAATTTTGTTTTTTTGAACAATTTTTTCGATAATGTCTATTTATTCATCTATTAAATGTAGAATGGTTTCTTTTTTTTTAAATTTAGTTATATAGTTTTTGGTATTTCTTGATTTACATTCATATGCATGTATAAATTATTTCTTTTTGGTATGTTGATTTAGCCATTATGATATGTTGTGAACTGTTCTTGATAAATTAATAAACTGTTCTTGTTGTTTTTACGTGAATTATTATCCTTCGAGAACTTCTAAGGAGTGAATGTGATAATACAAACAAAATGTTGATTGGATGTTGGAGGCGGCTGGACCATATAATTAGAAAGATGTTTACTCTGAGTTCTGACATTTGTTTTAAGACTGATAATTTTTGACATGTTTTATGACTTACAATAATTTGTTTTTAACATTTAAATAATTAAATTGTTTCCATAAAATTTAAAAACCAAAATTCATTGATTTGAATTTCTTTTGAAAAAAATCGAAATCGAAATTTTATACCTGAAGATAATCGAAACCGAAAGGGAATTGATATCTTATAGGATCGAGTCATCACTATATAAAAATAATTACAATAATAATAAATAATTTTTTATCGGTCGATATTTCGTTATATTTGTTTGTTTAAAATCCAAAATTTTTTTAAAATTCAAATTTTTTATTTTTAAATGATATCAAATAACTGTGCATAACTCTGTACAACACTCTTTAACTTTGTATAACTCTGTATAACATTGTATAACTCTGTATAACATTGTATAACTCTGAATAACTTTGTATAACACTATATAACTTTGCATAACTTGGTATAACTCGGTATAACTTTGTAAATCTCTGTATAACTTATTAAAACTTAATTCAAAAAATTAATAAATAGATTTATATGATGATAAAGCAAAAAAATTAAAAAAATTAATGAATAGATTTATATGATGATAAAGCAAAAGCATAAAGTGGTTCGATATTTATCTGTTTAGCTTTCCATGCTTTTGTGAAAATTATTATGAAACATTTATCTAATTTCAGCTCGTGATGTGCGCCAAATTTTAATTGTGGATGGTTTTTTGATTTATCTTTTTAAAAAGTCAAATTTATTATTTTATGTTTAATTTAATAAAATTGTTTTTAATTAATATCAAATCTTATTTTTATTTTGTTTTTTTTCTATAATATATTAAGTTAAAAATTTCTGCGAAGGAAAATCTCAATAAAGAAATGGAGCCAGTTGGAGTTGTTAAAAAGGGTGAAACATGAAATTATTAAATTAATTATTAATTGAATAAAATTTTAATTGAAATAATATTCGTCATTCAATTTTTAAATATTTAAACAATAGGTACATTTATAATCTGTGATCCAATAAAAGTAATATAAAGACGAAACATGTAAAATTGTAAAATGTTTCTATGAATTTATTTATGAAAAATGAAAACATTAGCATTTGCAAAACAGTTTCTCTGAATGAATGAATGAATGAGTGAATGGATGAATGAATGATTGAATTGGTCAAGGTTAGGGGTTAAAAGGTTAAGGAAAGTTAGTAGACTTTAGAATTTAGATTAGACAATGATGTGTAGTGTAAGTAATGTTGTAACTTATAATTTTTATTATATGTAACGTAGTACTAAATACACTGCAAACCTACTGTTCATAACAGCCGGGGATTGGCATTCGAACCCGGTTACAGCAGCAGTTTTTTCCAGGCTCCCATCACTATCTTTACATCACTGCACCATCATCATCATTATGATACACGGTTTTTTTCATCCTTAAATTATTGCTATATCAAGGCATTTGGGAAAACATTCAGTGATTTCAACGATATATATCACGACATATCATGATATATATCATCATAAATTATCTGGAACCTCCTACTGATGCAAAATCGAAAGTTGAAAAATCATCGTTGATTAAATCGACTATCGTTTTATGATCCTTTTATTCAGAATTTTTCCTAATTTCTGTTTTAAAAAGTATAAAAGCGAACAATTTTTATATATATACACAAAGAATAAATACTATTTTAAATTATTTAATTAATATGTTTTTGTCATTTTTTAATTTTAAATATTTTTTTAAAAATTTAAGACAATCTTCTCAAGTTGCACAGTGAGACGCAAAGGATTGTCAGAGGTAGATATTTTAGTTGAAAAAAAAATTCTTCTCCTTCACTATAACTACATAATCATTAATATTATCAATTGCGCCTCGTATAATAATCATAAGTAAATTTATTCATTTTTTAAATATTTGTCACAGAGTCGAGTGTCAAGCTGCCCTATCATAAGCCAGCCAAGCAAGACTTGTCGTCATACCTGGCCAGGGTTCAGCAGAAAAGAGAGTCCATAGACTTCACTAATTCACTAAAAAAACTGCAACAGCAGCAGCTGAAACGTCACCAGCCCCAGCAGCAGCTCCAACAGCCACACAATCAGCTCAATACATCCAGATACAATACGACGATACACAAAAATACAAAAGATTTCTATTCTCTGCAAACACTCCAAAAACATCAGACCCCTACCCAGTTATTCCTAACCCCACCCCCTTGGAAAGGTTCAAGGCCACTGCTGCACCCCCTAACTCCTGATACTACTAATCCCCTTACTACAGCTAGTAGCAGCAGTAGTAGTAGTAGTAATAGTAATCCTAATAATTTTAACGTAAATGAAAAGTTTACCCTTTTTAAGAGTAATCTAAAATTTAAACACAATAATAGCCATCATAGTGGTAGCGGTGATGCTGATAGTAAGAAATTTATTCCAACAATAGAAATGACGTCACCATCGTCATCGTCATCATGTTTCAATAGAAAGAGTGACTTGTTAGATAGAGTTAAAAAAAGATTCTCCCTTGGTGACAATAAGAATGATGATGATGATGATGATGTGACTGGTGATGGTAATGATCGTCAGAGAGATGATGCTTGTGGCGGTGCTGGTAATGATCTCAAAATCTTCGTTAGTGGTGATGATAGTCATGATGGTGATGATGATTTGATAATATGTGATGACGATGAGGCCACAAAGAGGTCAGGGATTGAGAAATTGTTTAGCAAACTGGAGAAGAATTCGAAATCTAAACATAAGACACAGGCTACCACTGTTGAATTGTGGTGGGTAGTTGCACTTTTTTGTTGTCGCTGTTGCTGTTGTTGCTGTTGTTGTTGTTGTTGTTGTTGTTGTTGTTGTTGTTGTTGTTGTTGTTGTTGGGTTGTTAACTCAGAGTCAAAGAAAGACGCATCGAGTGCATTCATTTATATGCATTCAATCGCATGCATTCAGTCATACACATTTAAACATTCAATCATTCACATGCTAAACATTCAATCATACACATTTAAACATTCAATCTTACACGTGCAAAACATTCAATCATACACGTGCAAAACATTCAATCATACACGTGCAAAACATTCAATCATACACGTGCAAAACATTTAATCATACACGTGCAAAACATTCAATCATACACGTGCAAAACATTCAATCATACACGTGCAAAACATTCAATCATACACGTGCAAAACATTCATTTGAACGTTTCTACTGTTGTTGTATTCTAAATTTAATTTCTTGTTATTAGCGTGTTAAATCAAATTTAAACTTTAACTTTCTTTCTCCCTCTCTCTCGAACACACACACTCATTCAACACACACACACACACACTCATTCATTCTTTCTTTCTCGCACACACAACACTCACACTCATTCATTCTCTCTTTCTCTCTTTCTCTCTCTCTCTCTCTCTTTCTCTCTCTCTCTCTCTCTCTCTCACACACACACACTCATTCTCCCAATCTTTCTTACGCAGTACAATCACAAGGCAGATATCAGAGGACACGGATTCAACGTCCAATTTTACGAGCAACCTCATCAACAACAATACCATCACCAACGGCAACTCCACCACCACCAACAACAACAACAACAGCGGCTTCAAAGTGGAGAAGATAATCTACAAGATGGACGCACGCGACGACGAGATGCTGAAGGGCTCCAAGCTGCGACACCTGCAGCAGCAGCTGAAGCAGCAGATGAGCGAGGTCCGCTCAGAGAGACTCAGAGAGAGGAAGAAACAATTTAAGAAGTTGGCCAAAGAAAAAGGTATCGGAAACGCCATCTCGAGGTTAAAAGAAGACGAAAAGAAAGATGATGACGATGATGGTGGTAGTAGTAGTAGTGGTAGTGGTAGTAGTAGTGATGATGATGACGATGATGGCAACAGTGGTGGTGTTGCTGATGGTGATGACGACGCGGAGGAAACGGAGGAGGAAGATGAAGAAGAGATGGCCGTGAAGAGAATTGAGGTTGTTGCTGTCGTTGACGACGGTTTTGTTATGTATTAATTTTTTTAAAAATCGATTTAATTGAAAATTTGTTTTTAAAAAAATTTCAGCTTAACCCGTACATAGAAACTGAAGCCGATGATGATGACGACGATGATGATGATGACGACGATGACGATGATGATGAAAGCAAGCACTCTGACAAATTCAAAAATCACGCCAATCGTAGAGACAGAAGTATTAAGAAGAAAAATAATGATGACGACGATAACGCTGCTGCTGCTGCTGCTGCTGCTACTACTACTACTACTACTAATAATAATAATAATAATAATATCGATGATGATGATGATGATGATGGTGATGACGATGATTGTGTAAATATAAAAAGGAGGAAACAGGCCAATGTGATACGAGATGATGATGACGATGATGATGACGATGATGATGACAAAGAAAATAATAATAAAAATAATAACAAGAATAATAATAATAATAATAATTACGACGACGATGATGGCAATGATTCGCAAATGAAGAAGAAGAGTTATGATCCCTTCGATGAAGATGCTCTACCCCTGGGCCAAATAAATGCTGAAAATCATAAGAGTTATAATCATTTTTTTTTTCACAAATTTTATTTGGCATACAATTATTATTATTTATAATAATAATAATAATATTGTTATTATTATTATAATTGTTATTATTATTATTGTTGTTATTATTATTATTGTTGTTGAACGTGCAATTCGGTTTTAAAAATCTTTTCATTGTGATAGTCTTTGCAAACTGGCCAGAGTCCTTCTCGAACTGTCGCCGCGATCGCAAGCAGATTATTATTATTATTATCATTATTATTATTATCATTATTATTATTATCATTATTATTATTATCATTATTATTATTATCATTATTATTATTATTACCACCGATTTGAATACATTACCGCTTTGCACTTGCCCTAGATGGGCAATGAGCATTGTGGTTTGCACTTGAACATTATTACATTTTTAATTACTCTTTCCTCTTTCGTTTTAACGACTCTCAGTTGGAATAAAAGAGTTTTTATTATAACCATATGTATATATAATTTATTAATTTATTCTAATTCTTATCCGTGCAGTCAAACTGTCTCCAAGACCATTCAAAGAGCTTTCATCTCAAAAAAATCGAGGTGCCAATGATGGAGAAGAAGAAGAAAACAGTAATAATAATAATAATAATAGAAGAGATTATGATAATGATGTTTACGAGAGAGGTTTTGATAATGATGACATCGACAAAGATTGCAACACTAATATTAGCTTCAGCCTGTTCCACGATAGTAAAAGTCTGTGTATGTCTGTCTGTGTGTCTGTCTGTGCATGTCTGCCTGTGCATGTCTGTCTGTGTATGTCTCTCTGTGTGTGTCTTCCTGTATGTGCTTGTCTGTCTGTATGTCTTTCTGTGTATGTCTGTCTGTGTGTGTCTTCCTGTATGTCTGTCTGTATGTCTTTCTGTGTATGTCTGTCTGTATCTTCCTGTATGTCTGTATGTGCATGTCTGTCTGTATGTCTTTCTGTGTATGTCTGTGTGTGTCTTCCTGTATGTCTGTATATCCGCCTATCTGTGTGAGTATGTAAGTGTATATATATTTACTAGTATGCGTATGTGTGTAGTGTATGTTTTTTTTCATAGGAATTAGATTAGGCTACAGATTTACAAGATTGTTTTATTCGGGATGCTATGATAATAATTATCGTCATTTTTGTTGCGGTTGTTTCCAGTAGTAATGATAACATTATTATTATTATTTATTACTTTTACTGTTATGGTAGGCGAGAGAAGTTTCGAGTCGGCGTGTCTACCATCAACCGGCAAAGATAACGATATGGCTTACAACGACCTAATTTGCTCTATGATTCCGGCCGGGCAGAAGATCAGAAATAAGAAGTTACCAAAGAACCTAAATAGTGATGATGATGATGATAACGCGGCGTCATCTGTGTCAATATTTACGCAGCAAAGAACTAAGTACCGGGAGGATGATGACGATGATTCGAAATTCGCTTCCCCTGACGGAAATGACGTCGTTGATGACGTCATCGATGATGGCGGTCGTTTCTGCTCAACTTCGCAATTGTTAGGGACCGATTCTATGGCAGGGCAGGACTTTAACTCTCAGCTGCTTGTTGATTGGTCGGTATTTTTGGATCAGTCGGTTCAGTGGTATTTTTTTTAGAGATATGATTGGTTATTTTTGTATAATGTATATCTTCATTGTTTGATTGATTGATTTATTGATTTCATTAGGTTAATGGATCCCGATAAATCAAAAAGAACGTCGTTCAAGTCAGCAATCGACGATCTATGCACCAAAGATAGCAAAACGGCGGGAAGTAACAAAATGGCGGGAAATTGTGACGAGGAAGATGAGCTGTTGCAGTTTTGTTCTGGTACTTTTACCACTCAAAAAAGTATGCTTGTGTGGGCGTGTATGTGTGTGTGTGTGTGTGTGTGTGTGTGTGTGTGTGTGTGTGTGTACGTATCCATGAATGCCTGTTAATGTTGATTAAATTTTGTAGTTAAATTGATCAATGAGTTTTTACGATTTTATACCACCAGCCGATGACCAAACCAACTGTGCCACTGCAGCTGATGCTAATGATGAAGACGATGGTGGTGATGATGATGATGGTGGTTGCACCGGAAATGATGTTGATTATGATCGTGATGATGACGGTGTTGTAGCGGGTGATAATGGCAGAAATAAACCAAGCAAAGAACTAGATAGAATGTCATCTTACGATCTTTTCAGCTCATCATCGTCGTTTCTACCGTCTTTTAGTTCTATGGTCCCAGACGATAAATACGACGATGAAGATGACGATGCCGCTAAAGATTATGATGATGATATAGCCAAACATTATGATAATGAGAAGGCCAAAGAATATGCTAATAAGGTAGCTAAAGATTATGCTAATGAGATGGCTAAAGTTAATGCTAATGAGGTGGCTAGTGATGGGAATAATAATAATAAAAAAAATACTAATGATGATGATGGTGGTGGTGATGATGAAAAGAATGATGGGGAAGAGGCAGCAATCAAGAAGTATGTTATTATAGTTACTGATTTCGTTTGACCGATTTGTTTGATTTTATAGTCATTATAATTATTCTCTCCCTCTCTCTCTCTCTCTCTCTCTCTCTCTCTCTCTCTCTCTATATATATATATATATATATATATATATATATATATATATATATATATATATATATATATATCTATCCATCTATCTTTCTATCTATCTATCTATCTATCTATCTATCTATCTATCTATCTATCTCTCTTGAAACACACATACTGATTTTTTTATCTCCAAGGAAAAGGAAAAGGATCATTACGGACAGTGATGAGGAGGAAGAAGAAGTAGAAGAGGACGATGACGTCATCAAAGATGAAGATGACGTCATTAGGGATAATGATGTCGGCTGCGGTGGTGGTGATGATGATGATGATGTGGAGGGGGGAAAGATGGAAGAAAGTAAAGAGGTATAAAGGGAATTTTTTGAATGGAGTAATAAAAACGGGGTCGTTATTATTATTATTATTATTATTATCACTTATTATTATTATTATCATTTATTATTATTATATGATCATTTATATAGCGCCTATTAAAAATATTCTCATAGGCGCTTTACAACTATGGCAATTTTCTACAAGGAAAAAAGATATGTCCTCAATTGACTCTTGAACTGGGGAAGTGTCAGACCAGACCGGCGCAAAAAATATGGAAGTTCATTCCAATGCCTTGGTCCATAAACTGCAAAACTACGTGATGCAATCTTTAATTTAGTAACCGGGACCACTAACAAGTTTCCCCGATCTGATCGTAGGCCAGTTTTTAAAGAAATCGATGATCTGTCAATCAACATTTCGGACAGATATTGCGGAGCCAATCCGTTTAAGCATCTATAAACCAAAATACAGACTTTAAAAACAATTCTTTTGCTGACCGGCAACCAATGTAATTCCGACAGAAGTGGGCTAATGTGTTCAACACGACTAGCACCAACAATAATTCTTGCAGCTCTATTCTGAACCATCTGCAACTTATATAATATATATATATATATATATATATATATATATATATATACGTCGTAATGACGTCATCGTCTTATATATATATATTATTGATGGAGATCACTACATGTTCCTCGTCAGTTAGCTTCCTGTTTAGTATTATTAATCTTCCTGTTTAGTAGTATTAATCTTCTTCCTGTTTGGTGTTATTAATCTTCTTCCTGTTTGGTAGTATTAATCTTCTTCCTGTTTGGTAGTATTAATCCTTTTCCTGTTAGCTAAGCAACAGAAGGCTAACTAGCGCCGAACTTGCTGTGATTTTCATCAATGATAATTGCATTTCTGACAGTATTAATCCGGTATGTGTATATATATATATATATATATATATATATATATATATATATATATATATATATATATATATATATATATATATAG